AGTGGGAGGAGCTTCACTGATGATGAATTCCAGAGTGGGAGGAGCTTCACCTGATGATGAGTTCCATAGTGGGAGGAGCTTCACTGATGATGAATTCCAGAGTGGGAGGAGCTTCACCTGATGATGAGTTCCATAGTGGGAGGAGCTTCACTGATGATGAATTCCAGAGTGGGAGGAGCTTCACCAATGATGAATTCCAGTGTGGGAGGAGCTTCACTGATGATGAGTTCCAGAGTGGGAGGAGCTTAACTGATAATGAATTCCAGTGTGGGAGGAGCTAATCTGCCAAAATCAAAGTATATCACTTACTGAGTTTGTTTTTATAGGGTCAAAGACCAGATGTCAAATTTTAGTGCAACAAATGAAATGGACCAAAGTGATATATATTCATAGAAAACCCATTAAGTGCAAATTTGTGTATAGTTATTCTGTAGTCATTAGTTACATTAGTTAGTTATAGTTATTCTGACCTGTACTTAATAAAATACTGTATATAAAAGAATAAGAGATCATACTTAATTTTATTAGGCTATTTAAAATTATTACAAAGTTCTTGCTGACAAATGGGTAAAAGCTAGTGTTTTGAAGGATAGTATCAAAGTATAGAGATTTAAATGGACAATTAATGAGTATTTTTGGGCTGCACTGTGATCCTTAAACACAGTGTTTGAACATGTCATCAAATGATTCTTGTTCTAAATATGCTTAAAGTTTTTTTTCTATATTAACCCATTTTTGTCTTTGACTCGTTTACTAATTAACAAATGTAAGCATTTATATCGGTGTATCATAAAGCAACTGATGCTAATTCACAATTTTTTCTAATTCTAACATTATTCTGTTTCTTCATTAAAATAAAGGTAGATATCTAGAAAAGAACTGTGAGGAAAGCATTGGGAAGCATAAAGACAGAAATAAATGTAGATATCTGTAAGCAACAGATACCTTCAGTCTGTTGACACCAATGTAATGAGCTTTAAGTGGCGATTTACAGGAGATCTGAAGACATCAGCTTAATACATGAGGTGAAAGCAGGACTATTGTCATGAAATACAGAGTGTTTTCAGCAGCTGTTAATATTGATGAGCCTCAATCAACACTCATTCAACAAGACATTCAGGATCATCAGCAGATCATCTCACTTTATCTGAGAGTTTCTGTTAGAAACACATTATCTGAGTCAGGATAGATGCTAACAGCCTATAAAAGTGTTCTACTGAAAGATAATACTGTTATAAGTAACACAATATGACACAAACAATACAAAAACAAACACTAATGTAACTCATCTTCATTAACCACTCCAGCTAAATAACTACAGCAGCATGTCCATATGAATCTAAATATAGTTTGATTTTCTAAGTACATTCACTGCAATAAAGTAATTATAACGTAAATGCTAATTTTGTGAGTAGAAACGGACGACTATTGTAAAACTTCCAGCAATACAAAGCACCTAAGCACTAATATTTCCAGCATCAAACTATATTCATATTTACCTATATTAACATTTACGTACATATTAAATGTCTCACGTAGCTCATTATCAGCTCAATGTGAAGTATTAAACATTATCAAAACAAAGTGTGTTTGTGCACACCTGGTGAATAAAGCTCACACTGATTCTGAAGAGCCATGTTATGCACAGAAGCCTGGTGTGTGTGTTCTTCTTGTGGAAATAGTTTTACACAGATATATTATTTAGTGGCCCACCAGAAAATACAGAACATTGGGAGTTTGTGTGTGCTTTGAGTGCTTCAATTTTATTTTATTTTTTAAATGTAACTGTCTCGTCTGTCTACATCAGTAACTTTTTTTTTACACTATTTTGTTTGTTGTTTTATAAATGTTTTGCCATTTTATACAGCACTCTTACCTCGCGGTGATGACGCGTTCCCTTTGTTCTGTGTCGAGTCTGCTGAGGTAAACAGCTCACGCTATATCGCTTAACTGTTTAGTTAAGTAATGTATAGATCCTGTTTTCACGTCTTCAGATCAGTAAATTGACACATTATTGGTGTCAACAGACTTAAGCACGATCGACTATTGGGTTAGGGAATACAATCAGAGATCTAACTTACCAAACAATTTATTTATTATCTTTCAAATTCTAAAAAAGGTAAATCAAAATGGTACATATAAAGTGCACCACATGCAAAGCATGCGATGACTGGCAACTTTAACCGCTGAAAGGATACTACGACAAAGATATTCCTTTCCTTATTCAAACTGATGTTTTAATTCATTAATTTAATTTATTGAACGGATAGCCCCTTGAGATGTGACATCTCATTTTCAAGGGGGTCCTAAACACACAAAAACGAAATATTACAACATAATCATACAAAACGTACACGCACAAATATGCAAAACAAAAGACATGCTCAACCAGTCCCCCACACCCACAGCAGGATTACAAAACAATCAATGTCACATATAAACAGAATCGACAAAAGAAAACTTAAAAGCAGACACAAAATATTTTGAGATAAGAAAATAAAGATGACCTAAAGCAATAAAGGGAAGCAACAGATATCAAAGACTGAGGAAGATTATTCCAATCAGAAGGAGCTTTATACTGAAAAGACCTAAGTCCGGCTTCACTAAAAATTCTGGGAACAAAATGAACGGAAATTGTACATGTCTAAGTGAATAAGAAGATATGTATGGAATCAAGTACTGTTTCAAATACCAAGGACAATAAAAAAAAAAGCATTTAAAAATAAACAGAAACCAATTAAGTTGTCATCTTCTTGATTTAGGATGTAACCAATTAAGCATTTCCTACATATGGCAGTGATGAGTACGATATGGACACCTTAACACAAATCTACATAAAGAGTTGTAAACCACATTAAGAGGCTTCAGATAAGTGTCAGAGGTATCTTGATATACGATATCAGCATAATCAATAAAAGGTAATATTACCTGAGAAATAATTATTTTCCTAACTTGACATGTAAAACAATTAATGGAGCGATAAAGTAAACGCAAACAACTGTATGT